AGAAACCGAACGAAAGTACGATAATAAAATTCTCGCGGCATACCTAAGAATGTCGACCTCAAGGGCAACCTTGTAAACTTCATTTCTTTTCCCAGGATCTCGTATTAACGTGCACACATGAGTACTCGAGGAACCTCGTGCTCGGCAAATATTGCAGCGTGAAATTTTACGTGCTACCCTCCATATCCATAAAACATTGCATCAGCATCACCGTAAGGTACAACTCAATTCGAGTGCGGTAAATTACAACCATTTCTGCAAAAAACAAAATAAACGCGAGGTTACTTGGTCACTGGCTCTGCTTTAAGTAGCCCTTTGTTTATCAACTCGAAGGTATTTGAGGAATGCGGCAAAAAAAGTATAACCAATTTATACATATGTATATACACACATACAGACATACTCACTTTTCGCAAGTGACCGGGAATGCGGTATCCGCACTTTGTTCACTTAAACACCACTTAAAATCACGCTCGAGGCGACGGACACTGGTTCAAGCTTCGACGCTTTATCACTCTCGACTCGCTTCACCGCTCGCTCTTCTTCCGGATCGGCCCTGCGCAACCGGAAGTGCGAAAGAGCGGCGTAAAAGCTCTGGGCGGTGGGGAAGAGGAAGGGGAGGGGGGAACAGAGACGCACGTAAATTCGAGGGACTTCACCTCACGTCTTCGCGGACGAACCTTGGCTTTTCGTTCACTCGCGCACTCTCTTTCTCTCGGCGGTGATCTCCGCCGGTCGCGTAACCTAACCTCAAAAGTCGCGAACCAAGCCGCGAGTTACCTCGAGGGTCGGCGGGAGGCGCGCGAAATCGGGGGAGTAGATTCGCAACTCGCCCGGAACCTCCGACGCGGCGCTGTCGATCGAATTAATCGGGTGTATCGGATATATACCGCACGGTGATCAGTTAAACAGTCGTCGCTCCTTCCGGAAAATGGCGCCCACGAGACGCTGGGTGAGAGCCGGCAGGAGTATAAACAAACCGGAGCAGAAAACGGACGATATGACAAAGAAAACAAAGATGACCGGCGGACGCGACACTGACGCGCACACACGCGGCCGGTGATCCGCGGGGGCGACACTAGCGACACTGGTGCTCCTGGCTGCCGGACTCGGCGACGCGGCAGAGATTCGAACTAACCGATCGTAACCGTCGTTTTCGCACCTCCAATCGGACCCCGCACGCCAGATTCGAGTCGATTACCTCTCTCGGTGGGTGGGTTTAGAGTCCACTTCGAAGCATCGGGTGGCCGGAGTCACTCGCGATTTGGATATTTCCCTCGGAGAGCGGGAAAGGGTAAACAGTCAGACTCGGCCGATTCGAACGGCGAGTTGGCGGATTGATGAGTTAAATGAAGCACGGATGAGGGAGACCTCGCGATCTTCGGTGATCTTCGCGTAAAGTCGGGACTCTATCTACGCCACCTGGGGAGCGGCGCCGACAACGCGGATGGGCGACTCGCGCGGACGAGTCGATCGGCGCCCTGGACGCGTTGGTTGGTGGAATTCCGATTTTCTTCCGGTGCCGATCTCGGTCCTCGAGTTCCCGAAACTCGCTGAAGGAGGAGGACGCAAATACAGGCGGGAGCGGCGAGCGAGCACTGACACTCGCGCGCGGAAATGGCGAGGGGCGAGCGGCGATATCCACGAGGGCGACGGCGGCGACGCCTGGCGGCCAAGCGGCGAAACTCAGGCAGGACGATTTAATCGGTCAGTTAATTAATCGCCGCTTCGGCACGCCGATTAATTGGAGCCACTCGGTGCAACGGAGCTTCGCGTTTCTTCGCCGGAGATTGACGAGGTCCTCTTCGAGAGGGGGCACTGATCTCCCTGCCGAGACACCGAGAGAGAGAGGGACGGTGGCCGAGAGAAACGGCGGCAATTCGCCCGGGAACGAGAACGGGAACGCAGCGAACTTCGGGACGCTCACGCCGGGACCAAAGCCGAGCGGTTTTCAACTCCTTGAAGCTTAGCCACTTCAGACGTTTACTCTCCAGGAATCCGGCAAGTGATACTCCCAATTAATGGTCCTCCGTACAGGCGATTCGTAGATTTCTTTGTTTTAGGGTCACGTATGGTGGACGATGCGACGTTCTCGCGGCGGCTTGCAGCATCCAAGGTAAATGCGATTCCGGAGATCTTTCCGAAGTCGGAGTCGAGGACTGGACGGCAATTCTCCCAGGTATAGCGAGCGGACTTTAACTACCGATATGTCGAATTCTGGGGCGTTCGCTTACGGACCCCGACTATCCTCGGGGGTCGAAGTCGACGTTCGCGCCCGATCCTATTGTCCGCAGCTTTCCGGAATCCCGAAGGAGCGTCCGCGGCATCCAATTAGGCGTTTTTACCCAGTGAGCTCTGTGACGTCGCGGCGGGAACTCCGTCGATACCGGCACCCACGAGGTCGATGCCAAGGACGATCGCGGAATCGGCGCTCTTCTCGACCTTAATCGTCGAGCGGGCAATTACGGCTCAATGTTCGGTCTGGTCTTCTCACAAATTCGATTCGCGGATTCTCGGCTGCACCCGCGTAAGCCACCACTGTATCCGGCAACCTGGTCACTTTACAGGCCTGCCCGTTCCTGGAACATCACCGTCGATTTCGAGCCCGGGAGTACTCCGCGTGGGCGCCGGGAGCTCGGTCGGCGGGAGATATGGGAGAGCGGCGATACTTTGCCGATCGAAACACCGGTGGACCGCAATGGACCGCAGTGGACCGCAGACCACGGTGGATTACGAGGGCTACGGCTCGCAAGATGGTCCGGCTACGCTCTAGAATGCCGCGGCGTGGCTCGCCACGCAACCGTCACGCTCTTCCTCGCTCGATCCACCTGCCGATCCGCTCTCCGTCCTCGTCGCTCTCGCGAGGATCCTCTCTCCAGCTGGCCGGCGCGCTCGCGATGACAAGGACCACGACAACACTGGGATACTGGCGCGACTCCGCTCGTCCCGAGGACTCGTTACGCCGTCTCCTTTCTCTCTCTCTTTCTCTCTCCCTCTCGCTCTCTCGGTCACGCACACCTTCCCTGGGGATCTGTCCTCGGTCTCTCTCTTTCGGCGATACTCTCGCGAGCTCGCGTGGGCTCCTTAAACGTGGTCCCGTCTCGTGGCTGCTCGCTCGTCCGTTGGCGGGCTTCGAATGACGGGCTGCGCTATCCCCACGCAACCGCGCTCTCACCCGGCCAGCGAGTGCGAGAGGGACCGACGAACCTGCACCAATGGGGCGCCATGAGGGTAAGAGAGAGCCCGATGCCCTCTGCGCAGGCGCCGACTCTCTGGAAACTCCTAAACGGGGAGAGCACCCCCCGCGAACGCGGACTTCCGCGGAAAAGGACTACCCGCTTGCTACGGGGTTGCACGGGTTGCACGCCCGTGACACGGGTGCCAACGGTGCCACGCCACGGTTCAACTCGGGGAGGTGATCTCCACGCTTCGACATTTTTATCTGCCTCGTAATTAGCGATGGAAATGCTTTATATGCATCGATATTTCACGCATTTTTTTTTTTTTTATTGCAGTTCCAGCGATACCGGAATTTTCCTTCGAATTCAAGTACAACTTTATTAAACCACGGCGATTCGACTGGACCTCGTTCAAACTGGATAAACATTTCAATTGGAATTATCGAACGGCCCTAATGGAGTATTGCAGAGTACGTAAAATTTGGATGATTGCAGTGGCGGTTGGAAACGGTGCAAAGTAAGCATTGATCGTTCTCGGTTAAATTATACGAATACGGAAGCGACGAAATATATCACAAAGTTTGCGACGCATTTGACGGATTAACGAAGTAGTTTGAAATCACAGACTTCCTTGCCGATCCATCAAAGTCGCGCGTAGCATCCAGGCGAGCGTTTGCGTAAACGGTCTAGGGTTTCGCAAGGTCTACAATCAATGCCATAAAATAGACTTGTCAGTTACAAGCACTCCGTCACAACAGGCTTTTGACTTTGGCGGAACGAGTGCACCCTCCGTTGATACGAGGGTGGCCGAGGCACAATGTGAAACGCGTCTGGGAGCGCAATAGGAAACTGGTCGCCCAACCCAGGGGCACTTTTGACAGCGGACGAGCGGCCACGCATCGACTCCTGTTGGCTCGGTATTCCCTTACATTATCTTGAATTTGCAACGATCGAATTTCTGAAAAAGAAAAGAAAAATGTATTACCGAGCGTTCACCTCTACTCTCGCTTAAGTCTTCTTAAATTTGACAGGAGACCCGGATACGTCGCCGATTGGGGAAACCCGGCGAGATTTGACCACGAGGTCAGCAGTCTCTCATCCATGATCCAGTCCACGGTCGGGAGAGACACGTAGATCACTCGGCAAAGCTTGGACCGTTTTATCCAAATGTAACACGTTCGCACCCCAGCCGCCTCGCGTGACGCCTACGGGCATGAAGTTTCACGGACAAGTGTTCTTCACGGGTGGCTCGGATGTACGAAAAATACCTTTCATCCCCGTCTCTCTGTACCCGTCTCTCCGCCCCGTAGCCACCCGGGTCCGGGCGTCTCTCCGCGTTCCTTTCCGCCCCTCTGCCGGTCCCTCTATGCGCGGGGAACATTTTTCGCACACGCCGGGGCGCGACGTGGTGGTCGCCTCATTAAGGGGTGCGCAAGATTCGCCCGTGTGTCGCGTAATTAATGCCCGGAAAATCATTACTGCTTTAAATCCGAGCGCCGCGACGCCGATATAGCCCGGCGTCTCGCGAATCACCTTCGGGCGTTCCTCTTTAACGGGCTAACAACCTCGAAAGCCCGCCGGGAAACAAGAAAAACTAATGGGCAACTTTCCGCGAGACCGCGGAAACGTTTGGCGCCCGGATCCAATGGCAGGCTTTACGTTTCGAAAACGCGGAAACCTCGGAACTTCCCTACCCGACGAGCGGTATCGACGCGCGGAATTAGCAAGAGCGAGGCGAGCTCATTGAAATTTACGTCAAACCAATTTACCGCTGCTTATACGTGCATCCTGATGCTGATCCGGCAGTTCGCTCGATCTGCATTAATTCAAGTAACCCAACAGTGGCATGAGCGTTGCACTTCGAGGAGGTATACGTTTAAAGAAGCCAGGCGAATAATTTGAAGAAATACGAGGGATGCAATTTCGACCCTGCAAGAAAAGAGATTAATTTAGCAATTTTTAGAAATTCGTCCTCGAGATACTCGGCATTGAACGGGATAGCGAGTTTAGGATATTTTTAATGTTTAAAACTTCACTAGAATATGGATGCACGGCAACAACCAATCCTAGTATAGGGGACTGAGAAAGAATTCAATTTTTAAAAACAATCGTGTTCTTAAACGCCGTTGATACAGTGATTTTGCGGTCAAATTATGTGTAAATGGTAGGTCGCGATCATCTATCGACACTTGATTCTCTTTTATTTTTTCCCGAACATTCTCCTTTTCAGGTTAACGGAATAAGCAGTGGTAAAAAAAGGGAACGAATTCGATAACCGGAAGAAAAGTTCGAAACTACGTGATTTGGATCTTAAAGTCGGCACGGCGGAGAAGAACGACCCCGTGGGTGGAGGAAAGTCGGTCGCCTTTAGCTATTAAACTCCCCTTATCTAAAAACTCCTTTAAATGTGTAACACCGAATAGAAGATAGTGCACCCGGGGAGAACCCGAGTTACTTTGGTCCAACCAGGAAGATCATATCGCACTTGTTTATCTTCTTCGCTTCCTCGTTATGTACTGCCTCTTCTTATTTTTCATACCACCCGTGGGTGACTTATCTGATTTAAGAAGATTCACCCCACATTGATTTTTCTCTTTTTTTTTTCGCAGACAAAGGAAACGGAGATAAGCTGTATTCAATATATGGCCCGAAGGCCACGGTCAAAATTCGCCGACGTCGGACCTTTTATATTTATTGCTTTAAAGGATACCGCATTGATTTCATTCGTGCATAGAATTAAACATTAATACGTCATCTTGAATGCCACGAATTCTAATTACTTAGGGAAGACTTTGCCAAGTATCCAATCACTGGAGCATGTACAATTACTTGGACAGCTACCCTATAGGTGGGCAAACTCATTAAAAAGCAAGCGGTGCGTTTCACCGACAATTTCCGCACTCAAAGATTCAACCCTCCGGTGATAGCGGAGATCTCTGAGGTATTCCCAGAGAAACCACCACTGACCTACCTTCAAACTACCTCCTTAACAAGCGAACCAACTCCTGGAGTTGGGAGGCTGACGAGTCGAAAGTCTCCGGCGCCTTCCGACCAACGTTCCTTCGCCAGAAAACTTCAATCGCTCCGAATTTTTCCAGTTTCGACCCCGCTGATGCACTCTGCTCATGGACGACCTTGTTTACACAAAACTACCTAATTTCACGCAGAATAGACGTCGCAAAGAGACCGTGGAAGCCGGCACAGAATCAATGGTCATGAATTTCAAGGAAGGAAATTCGGACAGGAGAACCTGGATTCCCTCGATTCCGCGATTACGTGAGGTAATCACTATTGACTCGCATTGTTCATATTCTATATTATTATATCCTTGCCTTTTAATTACAGATTTATACACATCCCAAATTTGTATACAGTATGGAGAAAAATTCTCCTCGGAGTTACATGAAGTACCGTTTACAGTTCGACGCGGTACGTCAAGAGGAGACCGAGGTGCCGCCTCTCCTTAATCGGTCACTGTTTTTCATAGAAACAGGATGAATTCTGTTGTAGAAACACGTCGTCAGGAACGTGGCTGACCGTTTCGCTAAAACGGAATTTTATCGATGCTCGTTTTCTTTCACGCTCCCTCGGAACTCGAGGGTGATGCTCTAAATAATTCAGGACAAACAGCCGGCCCGATACGCACGCGATTCCGTGTATGCACGCATGTACGTTTCTACGTTTCGTCCGGACGGACTCGAAGAGCGGTCTCCGACTTTGGAAGAGCTCCGTCACCCTCGGAGTATTGAACTTTCTTCGTACGACTAAATATTTAATGGCCAGCTCGATACTCCGCCATGCCACACACGTCGTAGAACCGCGTGTGCACGTCTCTCTACACACATCCAGCAAAGACGTGCGTGATGTACAAGGCCCTTTAGTCGGTCGGCAAAAATTGCGGATATTCCACCGCTTGGGTAAACAACGTCAAAACACCTCCCTGTCATTGGAAATTACCAAAAGGAACACCGACGAGCGTACACCAGCTACCCATGCCCAGGAACAATACATGTCTAATTAGAAATTAATACATTAACGAAGAAACTTTCTCGCCACTTTGTGCCGAAACTGTTTCGGGTGACAAATCGAGGCGTCGCTTTGTCAACACCTTCGACGGAAAGGGTTGAAGTCCTCCACCCCAGATCTGGATATTTTGCCGGAAGCGCTTTAAAAAGCAGTTACCCCATCTGAACCGTGCGGAAATTATGCCACGGAGTGAATGCATTCTGATCCGAGCCCCGCACATACGTAAGTGAGCTTAATTGATGTGGTACGGAAAGCGAATAAAAAAATAATTCCAGCGTCTATTTTTTCATACCCGGACATGGTCTACGTGCTTGTCTCGTTCCAGAAACGACGAGGCAAGCACGTACTTGCCCCCGATTATGCCCATGTGGGAATAAATAACGGGTAGCTCTGAAGATCCACGTCACTCTTTGTCCCCGCAGCATTGACAGGCCCCTCCACGCTCAACTATCCGCACATCTGAATGCTAGAATAAAAATCCATCGCTAGAGGCAAGCTCAACGCGTTAGTTTATTTTCCTTAAACCACGCATCCCTTTGCAATTCGCATTACCTTCAACGTCCCGCTGCTCGCGGGAAGTAAAACATCAAAAATTTAATTCAAAATGATATCATTTGCGGGATGACGGGAGGACCACTATGGCGCAATGACCTTTGATCCCTTTCCTCGCTATATCCTTTTCAAGGCTCGCTCGGTCTCTCTTTCCTTATCGCCTCTTTCCGTGAGAGCGAGTTGTCTGGGTACGTACCGAAATCTATCCATTCCTTGCCCCGTCCATCCGCGCATCTTCTTTTCTCCACGAAAACGCGCTCGCCCGTCTCTGTCACCCGATTTACCTATCCACCCTCCACCTATCCATCGGGGCGAACAGGAGGCGCATTCATCCGCCTTACGATCATGTGCCAAAGCCAAGCACGATATGTCGGGCCATTTTCTCGACAGCTTACCTATCCACAATGCCGGCCGGGTAATTTCACCTCGATGTCAAATTACCCGGACACGAAGGACAGGCGAGGAGGCCCCCGGAGTATAATCCCGACGTAGCCGGGAAGCGGCCGAAATTGGAATTTAATTGGATTCTTGGAAAACGCGGACGTGACCGCGCGCGCATCGGACGAGTACAAAAATTGAGTAGGCACTGCCCTGTGCCGGTATTAGGGCGGCATCGCGACGGCATCACCGACGTCGAGACGCGATGGGAAACCAATACCGCCGGTCCGCGCCGTCCTCCGTTCCGCCCTGCCGAGAGGCTCGTGACTATAAACGAGAATGCAATTCGCTCCATGAACCGCAGCCGCCGAGAGTCGATACGTGGACTTGCACCTGGGGGCGCACTCGAGTGCGTCGACTTCCACGAAGGAGAAAAAGATCCCCGGAGAAGTGCCCAACGTCGGGCACAGGTACTCGTTGCGACGCTCGCGTTAAATTTCTCGAACCTCGCCGCCGACCATGGGGAACGGTGCCGGTTAGTTTTTATTAATGGCGAGCATATAGAGGGGGCTTTGAGGGGCCAATTAATGGAAGCTGTATGGAAGCTCGTTTCCGTTTCTTTTCTTCGGGATGTAAGCAGCCTCGGTTTCCTCGAGTCGCTGCATCCGTTAGGCGCCGAGTGCTGGCCCAGTTCCTCTCTTAAATTTTGATGGAGAGAACCTCTAACGACTTTCTCGCTCTGTTTCTCCCGGCATCCCTCTCGCGAGCTTTACTGACCTTTCCTTCAATCTTCCTGCAGGCTCGGCCGAGTCGAAGTGTCACTCCAACCAAGAGCTCTCCCGAGGCGTATCCATCTTCCCGTTCGCCCCATAAACCCCGGCCCTTGGATTCACTTGCTTCGATTATCCGAGGTTTAATCTTTAGTTTTCGCCGAGCAGATACTTCTCGATTTAGGGCCCGATGGTGCGTGATTCGCATGGACGGAATTCGGACTACCCCTGACAATATTAAAATCGGAAGGGTCGATAAGAGGTATTTTCGATCTCATCTGTCGCGTTTCTTTCAATTTCAGTTTACTACATCCGAAAGACGAGGTGGACTCGCGTCTTTTCCTTCGATCTATCGAAACGCGAAGCATCCGTCTCCTTTATTCGGAACGAATTTTCTCCCCTTCATCCTACGAGGTTCTATGGGCCGATTGAACTCAATTCATGTATATGAAATCCGATTTACCTCATTACGCTGTTTCTCGTTAGTCTTCTGAAAACACCTGATTAACATCATTTGGAGTGCTAAAGCGATCCTTCCCTTTAAGACGGTTGCAAAGACGGTTCAAGGGATATTAACGAATTCCCATGCGTCCATGAATGGTCATACGTACGCCCTGCTTGCGGGTAGTTACACCGACGAGTGGTACGCTTCATGCCCGGTAACGAGCTCACCGCAAGGGGCGTCCCTATGTTGATCCGTGTCAAATCCGTAGCGATGGTCGTCCTCTGATCTTGAGCTCGCAGTTAATCAGCCACGTGTCGGCCGGGCTAAATCCGACTTACAATTAGCAGATCACCGTCAAAGGATCGGGAATTACGCGCTCGGACACTTTGAACATTCCCGATTATTAGCCGGCAATCTTTGCTGCACTTATTTCAACCAGACTCCTTGATACCAGTCTTGGCCGTTCGAAGACAAAAGGGCGCTTAAAGTAGCAAATTACGTAACGAGAAGAGAAAGTAGACGACCGTGTACGAGCACGAATTTGCCGCATGGATTGTAATAACTAACTGCACTCCCAAGATACGTCATTTTTCTTGCATCCGCCCTACAAAATCGGAAGTCCAACTTTCGAATGCCTGTCGAGGATGTGCGGGACCTTATGATATTGCGGGGGAATGTTCAATTTCGAATAATTGAATTATTTTGAAATTATTTATAAATTTATTATAAATGGCTATAAACCATTTAATTGTACAAGAAATTTGTATAAAAAACGCTCCACCTCCTATCCTGTCGATTTCAAGAAATTGATACACCACTAAAGGGCCAACGATACTTTCCCTCTCGAACTCCACTTTATACACACAGGAAGTGATTACTCTCCTCCCTCGGGAGGTAAAGCGTGAAGATAATAGGCAACTTTTTCCACATTCGACAGGCACCGAAAGTCGAACCTTCGGTAGAGGGAGCATGAAAAAATATATCCACTCACCCCGTCCTAAAACCCAGAGAAAAGTAATCATTGACGACGAGCTGCGAATCCGAGGGCGGTTCTTTTTCCATGAAACATTAGGACTCCATGGCTCGCATAATTATAGGACCCCGTGGCGTCGGTCGGCGCGTCCATCCAGTGGCCAGCGCGTCGGTAATTGTCACTTTACAAGCCGTAACCAAACGACGCGTGGCCGCGTTTTATGGGCACACGGCGGCGGGTGGCGGTGGCCGCACCGCAGGGAAAATCGCCCCAGGTGGCAGAGATTTTTAGCCCTGGCGATGGCCGCGTACGCGGCAAACCCCTTCGGTGTTCAGGGGTGCGGCTTTTACGATCTCGCGGTTCTTCCCGCGGAGACGCCGGGCGCCGTTAACGCGCGCGATCATCGACGAGCCTCGACGCACCCGGGAGCATTAGCGCGTTCCCCGGGACTTTGCGGCCCATATTCCCGGTGTTTTCCCACCTTGTCGGCCCGTTGCCGCCCTCGTCATTTTTCCTCCCCAGAAGAGCAGCCGAGGGTTTATAGTTTTTCGGCTCTTCGCTCGCCGTTGTCCGGTCTTTCTCTCGGCCGCCACGGTTTTACGATCTTTAATTCTCGCTCCCTAGGGACGACATCTGCCGCCGCGGTTCGGCCGCGGTCGCTCTTTGCGGCCGAATGGCCTGCTCGAATTTCCCTACCGCGGAAATCTTGGCGGATTTATCGGACCGAGAATACCGGGCTCTGGGGACGGTATTTCTGGGGTCCAGGTTTTACGACCGATTTATGGGCTGATCATACCTTGGATACGTTACCTGGATATCATGAACGAATTAGGGCGTTATGGGAACGTGGACGCGAGTATGGATATGGATGATCGATTTCTACTTAGTAGGTGAGGGGGTGCAATTAATGGAAGTATTTTTAGCTTGGTCTAGGTACGCGGTGGTATCGATGGGATTCGGATTCCCTACGGGGTGGCTGGTCGAACGAAAGATTCTTGTACTTCGGGCCGCAATGTACCCCTGCAGAATGCTTAGCACTGCTTATCCCTCGCCTTCCTGTAAATTATTCCTAGGGGAACTTCCGCAGTTCCGGGGTAAAATAATTCCTTCTAAAACGGGTTACCCTCGCGGAATATCGAGTTCTAGATCTGAATTTTGCAGAAGTCTAGGTCGTCAACCGAGCTTCCTCAAAGGGGCATTCCGTCGTCCCTATCGACTTAGGGCCACTAACATCGTTACGAGGTAAAACCGTCGCTCTAGAGCCACTTATAGATCCGCGTCACTTTACGTACGTCAATAGATGTATTTTCATTTGCGGGACGAACGAATAATTTAGACCTGCCTATTTCCAGGTCGAAGTGAGCCACGCACCTGCTGCATTTCGCACCGATGCATTTGTCTCAAATTAGGTTTGACGGTCTGATCATAGAAGACCTTGTAATTTAGTGAAGATGTCTTCTGAATCGCCAATTGGATGTTCTTAATTTGACGCGGGCCTGAATCGTGAATCAGGACCAAAGCAATTTCGAAGCGACAACGTTCGTTCACTTTCGCACACAATCGGCTACAGCACATCGTTTCACTAACGTTATCAGATGACGAGGTGAGCTGGCATTTCGCAGAAATCGCGACATTCAAAGAAACGCGAGGATAAATTATTATATCTAATCACGCGATCGAGGAATCGCACAATATTGAATTGCCAGAAGCTGTTTTCGAGTCTACGAATCGTGTCGGGGTTTCTATTATTATTGATAACTGCATAGCAACTGAGGCACTGGATCCCGAACTAGATCCAATTATTTCAAGATCACGATATTAAATGATCGAATCGAGATCCCTCGATAAGACCGCTGATTAGTCCTTTCCGATTCTTTCGAGCCCTCTTACCTAATTTCGGTTATAACACAATCGCAGAATTTCTAGTCTCGCTGCGCTATTATCGCTGATACGCTAGAATTCTATTTTCGCTCAGAATTACCTCCCGGGAAGCGTAATGCATATACTCGAGGTCACCTCGGAAACGAGTATTCGCGTGACATTACCGTCCACATTTATGCGACAGCCATACGTCAAGGAAAGTGTGTAGAGAAAAGGAACCAAGACTTTATCTCGGGAAGCGATTTCTCTTTTGAGAAAAGTCCGGCACGAGCGATTAGGTGATTTTCGCGAGGAAACCTCCTAGCTATCCGCGGAGGATTTTCATAAAATGCGAGATAAAGTCGTGGATCCAGATGCTGCCGGTGAGAAACTTTTAAATTCGTTCCCCCCCGGCACTCGGTGATCTCCACTTTTAAATTTCTTTCCCCGCCCGATGAACTCCCCCACTCGCGTGTTTGCGATTTATAATTCATTGTCTGTCCTTGCGGTACGACCGCCAAAAAGAGGACCGACGTCGATGAGTTTCCGGAGGACTCGCAGTTGCCGGGAACGAATTTTCCCGTTTTGCCCCATGATTACAGCGCCATATCTCGACCTTGTCGAAGCGCTCCCTTCAATGCATTGCACCCTACTTGTATCCGTATATTTTGATACGCATTGCGGCTGACCGCGCATGCGAGTACCACTAATCCCAAGTCGACTCGTCTCCCTTTTCCCTGAACGCGTGACTTTTCCCAAAAAATTGCAGAGAACCAAATGCTTAGTTTTGTTTAACACGTTGAGCGCGGAACCGATTTTGCTGAGCTTTCCGTTTGGGCGGCACAATTTTTTATATATAGGATTCTTGATGCCGTGTCAGTCCCAAGGGACCAACGCCGCCCAGACGGAAAGTTCACTGTCGGTCCCCAGGGACCGACGCCGCACTCAACGTGTTAATGCATAGGTCATTTCGAGCCACTGGAAAATCGACGAGAAAACGAGGTGATACGGAAAGAAAAGTTGGATTTTTTAAGGACTCCGCTTTCCCTCGATTATGACGTTTCACTCCAACGAACCATTTTTCTGCCATCGGCGTGACCTGCCGGCAGCACTCGGTCGAGGTGCGGCCTCGAGCCACGTGCAAGCTCTAATAGTACCCTGAATAATGTCTCATACGAATAAAGCGAAGGGCTGACGGTGCAAAAACGCGAAAGAGCGAGCGGGCCGATGATTGCCCGAAACGAAGAGTGACGCGACGAGAAATGACGGACCTTTAAATCCTACGCTCCCTATCAGACCTGCGATGAGCCTGCGTCAAGTGCACGTCGGACTGCACAAGGGATTGACGGAACAAGAAAACGTCCGATAGGTATGATTGCAAATCAAATCACAACTTTCGTCACGAAAATGCATCTCATCTTAATTAACGTCTTACCGAAACTTAAAGGACCAAAAAATGTCTAAAATTCTTGACATCGATGAGGTCCGTTTTGTCGTTCGTTGCTAATTCCGGTGCAACAATCACGCCCCCCTCGAAGCCGATGTTTCCCGGTACCAGGAGAAGCAAGAACCGGATGTCGAAATTGCGTGTCCCGCGAGTGAAACGCGCTTCCGGGGCACGCACACGCGGCCGTTCTCACGACACTTTCGGGCCCGAATTTCGAATTCCGGGGAAATTCTTTCCCCTTCGCGTACATGACTACGCGAGACGGGCCAGGGGGGAAAAAATGAAAGCGCCCAGGAAAAAAGACGTCCGCGCTTCGGCTGCGAGCCGGTTGATTAGCGAAAGCAAAAAACGCATTCCCCGGGTGAATTCTTCGCGTTCCGTTTCCGCCCGCCCCCTGCCGTTGCCGGCCCGATCCGGCTCGGCCCGTTACGACGCTCATTCCACTTAGCGTTAATTGCATAATTATTGACACCTCTCGGATTCCTTTATTTCCGCCACCCGGGGCCACCCTCCTTCTTGCAGCTAATTCTTCCTTCCTCCGAGACCTTCCCGGAAGGGGCGAGGCCGAGGGCCCGGGATTCCATCCGATGCTGTAAAAGCCAGAGAAATTGAAGGTTTTTAAGAAAAATGCGCCTCGTTAATAACCGACTCGATTTTACAGTTAATATCACTCTACGGTTTTTTTTTTAAACCGGCCATTGCGAAGTGACCGCAATTAAGGTTAGACTCATAACTCATACAAAACGTGTTGTTAATTCTGAACACATCATTTCTAATTGGCTCGATGCTTAAATACGTATTTTTATTTTTTATATCTTTATGAATTCTCCATTCATTTTTCCTTCTGGCAAAACGTGTCAAGGACTAGTTTTTCGTGTTCCACCCTTGATTTTCTCGCTGCAATTTTTTTAAACCTTCCTATACCTATCTATGCTTCGGACCGGAGCTCATTCCACTTTGCGCTAATTACATATTTGTAGTCACCTCTCGAATTCTTTTATTTCCACCACCCTGGGATCCCTATTCCTTCTTGGAGGTAATTCCCTCTTGCTTGGAACCCTTCCAGGAAGATCTGAGCTCAAAATACCTATAGCGCCGGTCTGATCAGGACGGAAGAATTTCGTTCATAAAGCGCAAGGAATTTATTTTAGAATTTTTTTCTATATTTATTTTTCATATTTGCTTAAGACGGAGGGCTCTCCATTATGTTTGACGGGACGATTACTCTTTTGAACCGAGGTCCTTAAGGTCGCAAGAATTCGAGAATCGGACTTCAGCGCATTACTATGTTTATTATTCTTTCAATAAGACAAGTCCTACATCCTCGGTGCTTAGGTGAAAAAATAGAAAGTTAGGCAACTATTGGCAGATTTAAGGTCCTGAGCGTAGGTGGGATCGTTTCGTTTGGAATTCAATGGGACCCCGGGAGAAAAAGGTTCGACGAGAGGAACAAGTTACGATCTGTACGTGCGTGGAAATGGGACAAAAAGTGCATGTGATAGGGCACGATAAAAATTCCAAAGCCAAACGTGATTTATTCCTCGTACTAGACGTGACTGGCATCCACCGAAGTGGCAGCCGTTCTAATTGCGCACTTACGTCGCGTCCAGTTTAAACTTCTTTTTCCCCCAAAATTCACTGATTCCCATTGGACAGACTTCTAGGGATTCTGAAACGCTCCTCTACGATCAACAACCCAAGCGAGTATATTCCAATTTATACAGTCTATACATTCCCACCATCGTACAATTGTTTTCAAAATGTCGCCCAATTTACAGAAGATGATAAGAGCCACGTAACTTCAGGAAGTCTCGATGAAGGTGCTGTCCAAATTTGTATGATGACTGAACCGGGTGATGACTCCAACACGTCCAATCAGTCATGAGCTCCTCGACACCATACATAGACCACAATGATGACATGCCGCGTTTTTATTGCCGGATTTCATAGCCCTGCGTCGTGTCGTGAATTTCTCTAGTACCGGGCGTAAATTTCAACGACGAAGTTAATGCCGTGTCCCCTCTGGCTCTTGAACTTCAAAGTGACGTTCTGGTTTCCTGGACCTCCATACTTCAGAGTCGCGTAAGCCCCATTTCCGTTGGTCTTTTGGTCCAAAGCCTTGACCTGGGTGATGCGCTCGTACTTGGAGGCGTTGTAGGTCCTCTCTACGGTGATTACCTGGAGCCACTTCGAAGGCTTGATGATGTTCTCTCTGATGATCAGCCTGTCACCAGGAAGTCGGCTCCCAAGAATCAAATTGTGCGACAGATTCGCCTTGACAGGTGCAGCTGCCAATGGGGCCACGTATGCGCTGGGAACTGCGTTCGCGGCAATGGCAACAGCCGCCACGAACAAAAAGCCAAACAAGTACTTCTGCATATTGATAGACGTGGGTAGATGCACTTCTTGACAAAGAACGTTTCTCTTTGGCAAGGTGGTTTGCACTCTGGAGTCCGTTGGCAAGGCTTACTTATAAAAGCCAGCCGCCACGTTATCTACCTTATCGCTCTACATTCGAGTAACCAAGGTGCCACACATTTGACGTGATAAGGAAAAGTCTGATCCACATCGATATAAATAACACGATTCGGGGAAAGATACCAATACCCACGCAGGTATGAAACGAGTGCAAACGTTTGAAAAGACTCTTTGGGAATTATAATTATTAACAAATTAGGCGCGTCATGTGATGGACTTATAATCGAAGGAAATTCATTTTGTACGATAAGGAAAGGAATTACGCATTATCGCGCACATATCGTCGCGTTTGTAATCATTGCAATTCCTAGAGCAATCAGTTTAAGCGGTCATACGAGATGTCGACAACCAGATGCGAGTATCTTCTTATTTGTCCGATTTCTGGAAGAAATCTTTCCTTGAACCTGGAACACCGCATGAGTCGCGATGACACATCCAAGAATTGCCTTGAGAAAAAGGTGTCTCACTGATATGAGTCTCCAAGAGATGGAAATATTTTGCGATATCTGCCTATGATATAATGCCGAGTGGATATACTTCATCGAATCGATTTGAGAGCTCGCGAGAATCGGTCGAGCACGTGAATCGATTACTTGAAACTCTTTAAATATATAAAAAGCCGGAAAGTAAATCACGACATCACTCGTATGAAAAGGTGCTTTTATTGCGAAATACAATTTCGTCCGGCAATGTAAATTCATTCCGTTTCCGCAATACGAATCAAAACGGACGATAATTAAAACGTTGCTTTTGATCAGGATCCGACAATTTCCAACACGGGTGCCCTTTTTTCAGAGGAATTGCGAGCTGAAACTACGTCGCTCTCTCTCTCTCTCTACTCACTTTATCGGTACCAACCAACAACGGTCCTGTTTTCCCGGGAAAATGAAATAAATTACACTTCCGCGAATTGCAACCATTATTTCAGACGTAATTACAAAATTAATAAGGCCGAAATCTCAACGGAAATGATTTTGCGCTCCGAAAAGTGCTCAAACGATCATCGTTCGTTTTGATCTGGATCGAACGGAATCGATAGGAACGGATCGAGGTGCTTATCTACCGCTTCTTCGGAAACGATAATAATGGCCTACATACTATGAATTCAATAGAATAACAATTTTACCTAATCTATATATCGCATATTTTAGAACGATGGGAAGTTAAAATATCTACTCGGCTCTTAGGATATCGACTATCGATTACCACCGGAAACGTCTTCCGCTCCAATTCATAATTATTACTGTCATTGCGCCCGGTTACAGCGAGGTGTCGTACCTGAACCTCGTAATAGACGACGACCTCGATAATTCACGAGTAGCCCAACTCTATCTAACCCTGAGCCTTCCTACGTACACTCTGTTCATCATACATGTACACAAAACCGAAATCCATACATCATAGATAGGACCCCTTCCCACCCTCCATACTGGGAGGTCAGAAATCACCTTTGCAAATTATGTCGCATTTTCGATAGTAAATGATGCTGGCCAAAGTTTCTCCCTTGTGTTACATGTACTTATACTATTAATCGATTTTTCATTATCAATGGAATCTCTGTATATATTATTACTCTGTACATAGATCTAGACTCACTCAAGACCTCGTTAACCCTTTGACCACCCAGTATGGCGTGAAGTCATGTACTTAGGTTTGCCGAGGGTAGATATATTCGGATCATTAAGTCAGCATCTGGTTGGACTGTGCGAGCATCCCTGAAATCGTGGAGATAGATGTCAGGACAGCGGAGACAAGGTATTTCCCTTTAGATTTGTTCAATTGACCAAGCATTGCATCAATGGGTGTACCTATACATGTATAACCACGTATCGATTCCCCATTCCCACATATCCTAAGCAATCCCATGCGCAGTTTCTACTCCCACGAAAGGACGCTGATGACAAAAGACACTTTCGCAAATTTGACGCGATACCTCATCAACATTTTGTGCAATTTCATACATCAATATTAATTAAGTCAGGACCCCTGGAAAGAGACGTTCAATATTCTCATTTGCTTTCACATGAGTCAGTAAACAAGCCTTATCAACCGATGACATCATTAGCACCTGTCTTAACATCCTTACGCAGAAACGTACATGGTCCCTCACCTGTGAAATACAGATAGGAAACTTTTGTAAAGCAAAATTCAAGAAAATCTCACATTCGTTTGTCAAATTGCGAAATGCTCAGCCTTCACCCATGAATTCTCGTGGAAATACTTCATAGACGAATTCGTTTATTAATTTTTTCTATAGGTATTAAGGTACGTCTCGATAACAAGACGGGTTTAGCAAGTGACAAGGCGAGTCCAGGAAAATCCTGCGACCGCTGAAAAGCATTAAACAAAGAGCTTTCCCACCGAGACCTCGTCAGGACGCAGCTCAAGTTCATCATTGAATATCTCAGAAAGTAAACTTCTTACAAAGTTCCGCAGATGAGGCTTCGGATGAAATTTTTCCCGGAGATTACGTCCATAAAGGGAGGCCGGCGTTTCGTAATCACCCGGAGTACGTATACTCGCGAGCGACCTATCCCTTCGATAATCTCGGCTTGCAACTCCGAGCAAGTTGCCGCCTCCTCTGGCTCTCCTTCATCGTATTGACCGTCGTCTTGCGATTCCGGCAAGCACCGGCACGGAATACACCGGCTATTTTGTGCTGAGTTAATTTACTGCGAAGCGACTCAGCCAATGTGAATGGACCCACTGATGCCGCGAAACGCCGATGTCCGATGAATGCCACCATGGTCTTTCTCCAGGCCGAGATTTAGAGCAGCGCAGCACCAGGTCGTTCGTGTCTCGAGGTCGACCGACCGAGATTCACCTCGCAATTAGGCACTCTACGCACCTGCGCCCTCGTGTACTGCTGCATCTTAGAACTTAAACCGCATCTTGCATACAGCGGGTACCTCAGCCTCCGCATCATTCAATGGACCAACCCTGACTGGGTACACCAGGACGAAGGCACCTGTCGCGATGTGCCGAGATGTGTGAACCATGGAACCTACAGTGGGCTTTCCTCGTTAATTAACCGCAAATCCACCTGCGAGATAGGAACTACCTGGTTCCCTTCCATCTTTGAGGCACTGCGAGGTCAAGGATTCCTCTTGTGACGCCGCTCGACTCGAAGCTCCGGCCATGACCGTCGATGGGACTCCGCGCCGAAGGCGAAGACGCTGCAACCTGCTGCATTATGTGGTATTAACGTTTTGTCCTTGCCGAGATCGAACTTGATTTCCATTTTGAGACTCGAGATCCAGGTACCGTAAATACTCTTCCTCGAGGTGCAGACAGGATCGTGGAACGAACTCACAGGAAATTTATTGATTATTGTAAATGTATTACCTTCGTCAAATATTCATTAGAGATTGTCCTGGGTCGAAGCACGATTTCAATTGCCATTTTGGGAGAGGAATTATTAACCCTTTAACCAGAAGGTGCGGATACGTGGCTGAGGCTCCCACCGAAAAGAAGGCTAACTAAATCTGCACACCCACTCAAGGGGTGAGCATCAAAATATTATATTCATTAGATCTAAGTTGATATCCTTACTCCGTCTAGACGGAAACTGCCTGATTACCTGCCATCTCGGAACTGCCGTAAAATCAAGGATCCCCTTGCGCAGTACTGTCGGCATCTTCAAAGCTCCGTCTCTAATCGTGGAAGGAATTCCTTGCATAGGATCAGGGTGCTTCAACGTGCTGTAGATCTCGTGCAGTATTAACATTTTGTCATCTGTTGGTTAGTTACGAGCTGAGGACCGGTTACAGCGATGTAAAGTTTCCGATTCTCTGAACTACATCCGCACGCTGAAAATTGACACAAAGTCTTGATCATAGTAGTGATAAAAACAGAAAAAAAATCATGCATCTAAATTATTAACCAATTTTCTCTTTAGTTAATCCAAAGGGAGGAATAAAAATACGCACTAATTACCGTTAATGACTCGTGATTTACAGTTTCGTGGTGCATCCGGAATTAAGGCACCATTTTTAATTGCCATTGTTTCAATATCAAGCGATCTATCTCGTTGATGGGACCTTCTGTCAGAAATTCCCAAATTTATTCGTCCGTCCGTCGTCGTTATTAAATTCCACCCCTCTTCCCGTGTCATGGTTCTCTTCGGTTTCTCCTTTGTTTCCGCATTTTATCGTGGATTACGAGGGCGGAGCAAAGGAGGGCTGAAAAGTGGGCGATGCTGGGCGGTGGAGCAAGTTGACGCGTTCGAGTGGTACTCGAACATTTTTCAAAGCCAGATCTCGGATTCGAGCCTAGCGACTCGCCGACCTTTTGGACCCTTGAGTAGCCCAGGTCCCCTTTTTCCTTCTAATATTCCCGGCACTCGACGTGTGCCAGCCTTGATCTCGAAGCTTTCCTCGCCTGAAACGTTAGAAATAGAAGGTTCGACAATCTATTCGTCCCAACAAAGGGAGTCGGATAAATATTTATCTACTAAATTTAGACGTATATCTATAAGGGCTTTGGAACCGAAACCTCCACTTTCTACGTGCGAATAAAGATAGATTTAAAGCCTCGAATGGAAAGCACCCTTGCGATTAGTGTCGGGTCCTCCTCGGAGGAGGGGGAGGAGAATTCCTCGATCGCTTCGCCTGTGTTCCTTAATTCCCTTCGGAGGGTTCGAAATCCCGTATTCGCAGGGCCCCTTACGTTGTCCTTAATTCCCTTGAAAGCTCTCTCGCCTTGGCTTCCGGCCCTCCGTGGAAACGATCTGCGGCGCGTTTTCACGAGGCCAACGACACGGCTGTAAAAGCCAGACGATATCCCCGCGGTTTCCGTGACGGTAATTCCCGCGGATTGATGGAGCGCAATAATTCGTCGTATCGGCAAGCTCGGGGTGTTATACGGACCGATATATTTTTCCGCGTACGCGCGCTCAACTTGACGCGCGGATGCATACATTTGCCCGGATAACTTTCTTTCTTTATGCACGTAACTATCTTTATACGGGCCGCGCCGT